GCTACATGGTGCAGTAAATTCAACACACAACCTACCCACAACTCAACCCCTATGAGTTACAACTTAGTCACCTACACCATCAACTTCTCATAGCCACCAGCTAATATGTCACACAAGTATATAAATTCTACCGAATACATCTAATAGGATTCTAGGATCACATTGTCATAACATTTATCATACTTATCATTCACATTATTAAGAAGATGAATGAACACATATATATTTCACAATATGATGTCCCATACATGTAAACTGATGTATACATTAACCAAGATAACTCACTAACCAATATAGGCCCACTAAACCCTCAATTCGCAACATATTGACCAAAGATCAACTTTCCGTCTATGGTGGGTCCATAACCCTATACAAGTCTATCTGGAACATCTGCCTATGGATTTCCGATCCGTAACTTCCCAAGGATCTCATTTGTCTTCTAGAACAATATTCTAAAATTTCGGAACAATCCAACAGTCGGATATCCGTCAATTGCTAGAATTTAGGTTGTTATCAACGTTTGGTTTTAAAAACTTAGAAATTCAATTTGGGAAGATCTGTACATCAAATTTCCAATTCATCAGTTCCTATGGTCCTCAAAAGTTATGTACCATAACATATTAAGGTTTGGTGACGATCCAACGATCAGATCGTCAATTCATATAATGATCAAGTGATGTATCGTAATGAAACTAGGTTCAAACAATCAAACCACGCCATACAAATATCAAATCTGATATAAGGACATCAATTTAGCTTAAGATAGCATCGGCGGCCCACTGGGCACGCGTCGCCGCAAGTGGCGGTTTCTGGCGAACGAAAACTTGATTTTCCGACTAAAGCTAAAAATTACCAAAGTTTACAGGCAAGTAGAGTTCAACGAGAGGAATAACTTTCATACCTGGGTCGAAGTTCAATTTGGCCGAGAAACACCTCAAATCGCCCTCGAACCATCGGAAACCCTTAAATTTGGGTGTTCTTAATTCGACTCCAAAACAACTTTGACGCCCCAACCAAAGCATGGGCTTTGTTCCTGGGGGTGAGGGGTGTCTATTGGTGGTAATGGTTGACGGAGTTAGCTTCAAGATTGATGGATCGCCACCATAGAACCTCAGTTGTCACAGCCTGTCCCAAGAAATAATTATCGTGGTTGTGAAAAGACGAATTTACCCTTGAGCGTCGAGTATGTGTTTGTATTTTGGGTTAAGAGACTGGGTCAATTAGTTTTATCCCTAACTAATTGGACCCAATTAGAGCTAAAAGATTAAAGAGTTTTGATTGGTGTACATTTTGGAACCACACACACACATCCATACCTTTTCTCTCTATTTTCTCCCGTACTCTCTCGGACTCACTCTCTCTTCCCTCTCCTCCGTACGGACAACCTTGAACCAAGCCAAATCTTCACAGATTGAGGCAGAAAATGGTACCATTGTGTTCATGAGGACCATACGAGTTCAAAGGTACCCATTTCAAGGAAGAACTCGTTCGATATCACGTTGAAAATTCAAGCTCCGAGTTGAGCACTATTTATGAACTTTTGAATGGTTATGTTTTAGGACAATTCAAGTTCACAGCGAGCTCTATGAGGTTCTCATGAAGCTCGGAGTGCTTCGTTGGCTTAGTTTTGACATCGGGATCACGAGGTTCGAAGGTGGCCGGTTTTGGTAAGATTCTCCCGACGAGTTTTCGAGGGATTTGAAGCTTCCAAGAGGTATAACCTTCTTTCTCTCGTGATTTATGACATTCTGGTGAAAATTTTATAAAAAATGGTGCAAAAACGAGCGAGAAAAAGGCAGTTGCAGGTCTGCCCAGAATCCGGTGCCGACGACGCTGTCCGGTGTCTGGAGGTTGAAGGTGATGCGCGTGAGGGCGCGTGACGCCTTGCCTTCCCCGGCGCGTGAGGGCGCGTGAGCCACAGAAAAATTATTTTAAAAATTTCACGATGTTCGTGAGTTGTGTAGGTCACACTGGTATATTCAAATACCAAAATTGAGCTTTGTATGAGAAGTTATTAGATAGTTTTGTCTATGTGCTTTAAAATAACGTTTTTATAGTTAATTCGCATATAGGTGAGGCTTATCCCAAAGACGAGCGTATTCAGGGGCGACTCGGGACCCGTCGACATATCAGTGAGTGGGCTTTTGTTTTCAGTATATACTTATATCCTTGATATATTTCCCAGAAATGCATTTTTAGGAAAGTATGCTTTGAAATAATATGTCAAATGCTTTTATATTCTGAATATGCATTTCATGGTTGCATATATATATAAATGTGGTGCTGTGAAGACACAGGTAAGTTCAGGTAAGTTACGTTTGGTTATGTGAATCATCGATTATTTGATATGTGATTGAATAATGTTGAGCTCATAAAATTGCACCTAGGGTGATTGTGATTTAGCCAGAGATATAAAGTACATGCCTGTTTATTTACGTCACCTCCCGCACTATATGCTCAAATTGGATCCAACTTAAGTGCACAATCTTGTCGTACAGACCTTATTTATGGTTCCGACTCGTAAGTGACTAGCGATTTATCGCCCGGCTATTATGAGAGAATAGAATTGAGCATAATTATATTACACCCAATCTTGTCGTACAGACTCCTTTTTAGTGGTTCCGACTTATGTGCAGTATGTTGCCGTATAGGTCATTGTAGTGACTCCGGCTAGAGTAACTTTGAGCTATGAATTCAGCCGTATAGACTACCACAGGGGTTCCGGATAACATATCATATTTCTATGAATTTATTCTTAGGGTTCCGGATAACATATCATATTTCTATGAATTTATTCTTACCTGAATTGATTACTCTGTTAAATATTGGCATGACATATGTTTGAAAATGATTATGTGAAGCATGAATTGAATTGATATGATTTTATATATATATATATATATATATGCTTATATTTTGATTCTGGGAAAAATTATATATGTTTTACAGCGAGGGGTTAGATATGTTGATAAAGAAACTGATTTTGTAAAACATTTGTTTTTACCCACTCACGTTTTCTGTTTTGCGCCCCTCCAGGTTTTAAGTAAGCTTGCTGTTGGTGGCTTAAGGACGTCAGCAATTCTGACCTACCTAAATAATAGTAGGACATTTCTGGTACTATATAACTAGTACTTGTCCTACTAGACTGCACCTAGACTTACTATGCTCTGATTAGGAGTATTTACGTTTGTAACTAACTCCGATCACTTCCTGTTTAGTTGTGTACTATAGTAATTTGGTTTTTGATTATTCATATATTTCTTTTCATTATTGCTTCCGCATTGTGCACATGGCTACGTCACTCTCACGTGACGGCCACCATGCCTTGATCTCGGTCGGGGTGTGTCATCCGTACCCACCGATGTGGTTCTTTGTGAAATCAAGCCAAATTTCTTCCATTTTGGGGTGGAATTGGTAAAGGGAACAATGGGGAATGTTTTCTAGGTGGTGAGTGGCTTCAACTCGCCGAAAAACCACCATGATAGGCATTGGAAAACATGGATGCCATCGGGTCGGGTCGCAGGTTGTTAGGGGATCTAGTTTGGGGTGGTTTTCTCTCCCTCCTTTCCCTTCCTTTCTTCCCCCTCTAATTGGCCCAATTCTCTTTTTATTTTTATTTTTCAAACAACTAAAACATCTCTAATTTCTTCATTTCAACTTCAATTCGCGAACTGTTTTTGCCTACGCACTCGTAGGATCAAACTCTATCCAATTATACTTAGTGTGACCCCATAAAGTCCACTTTTAATGATTACTGACCAAAATTCAAACTTCGTAATTAGTTTAATTAAAATCTAAATTTAATATAAGGGTAAAAGACTGTTTACTACCCTCATGTTTTGTGGTTTTCAACATTTAGTACATCAAGTTTTTTTCGTCTCAGAGTCATACCTAAAGTGTAAATTTTAGGACAGTCTCATACATCCGTTAGTCAAAGTGTTAAGTATTCCGTTAATTGATGATGTGGCGCCCACGTGGACAATGACTGAGCGCCACCTGTCAATAAGGGGTCCACTTGGAATTAAAAATTGAAAAAAAAAATATTAAAATAATTACTTTTAAAAATATTATATTAAAAAAAAAGCCCAAAACCAACCCAGAACCCCCTTCCTCCATCCCCACCCTCCACCCCTCATCCCCTCCACCCCTTTCATCTTCTCCACCCGAGCACCCGGGTATTAAACATTAAACATTACAAAATTACAAAAAAAAATAATAATAAAGGTGTTTCTTCCTAAAACCCCCGACCCCTTTCCCTTCTCCCTCCGTTCTCCTTCCCTTCTATTCGCTGCACATCCATCGGGCCGAATCGATTCCTTCAACTTCAAAACCAGAAATCTCGCCTCAACAACGAGCTTTGACCCACATAAATCCTCAACCACCACATTCAAATTCCCCAAATCGCACCCAAATCCAAACCCATTCATGGCGTTAAAGAAATCGGGGTGGTGGGAATGAGTTGCAAATCTAGAGGAAGGAGTTGCAGATCTGGGTGGAAGACAGGCCGCCATGAAAAGAGGAAGGAGTTGCAGATTTGAAGGAAGAACTCGTGGGTGAGTTGGAAGGCGAAACAGTTGAGGTTCGAGTGGAGATGTGACTCGGGCGAGTTCTGTTGAATGGTGCAAACCCGGAGGAGGTGGGCCTGGTCAATCGGGGATGGGGTGGCGGCGGCGACTTGGGTGGGAGCAGAGGAGAGAAGGGAGGGAGAAGGGAGGGAGGGTCATTTGGGGGGGTTCAGGAAGAAGACAACTTCTAAAAAAATATATATATAATATTTTTTAAATTAATTATTTTAATATTTTTTTTGAATTTTTAATTCCAAGTGGACCCCTTATTGACACGTGGCGCCCAGTCATTGTCCACGTGGACGCCACGTCATCGATTAACAGAAGACTTAACAGTTTGACTAACAGATGTATGAGACTGTCCCAAAATTTACACTTTAGGTATGACTGAGACGAAAAAAACTTGATGTACTAAATGTTGAAAACCATGAAACATGAGGGTAATAAACAATCTTTTACCCTTAATATAAATTCCCAAAAATAATATAAAATATCCTTAATACAAATACGGAGTTTGCAATAGTGAAATCTAGGAACGGAATTTCACATAAACAGTCCTCTCCTCTCTGATGCTAAATCAAGCAGTGTACGGAAAAACTCGTGAGGGCATATGGGCAGTTCCTCTGCTAGTGCCTGAAAATTGAGACGGGGAAGAAAAATGTCGACCTAGTTAGCAGTTCCTACTTCCTCAATACACATGCTCACTCTAAACAGTATTGCATTTGATCATCCTCTTTTCAACAGGTTTTAAACTTCCTCAACGGTTTGAAATACCAATTTTTTTAAATTACCAATAAAGAGTGTTTATTTGAATAATTACGTTTCCTCGATTGCAATGCAAAACCAAAATAGTTCGATCTAATTTCCATTGCAGGCCCAAAAGTAACCCTCAAAAGAAGAATTTTTTTAGTAGAAATAGGATACCTTATGAATCGGGACTATCCTGCTGGTTCATGTTTCCACAAGACTTGCTCATCAATCTTGCTCAGTTTCTCGTCGTCAAGACGCTTCCATGTCTTAATCCTCTCAACGCCCATCCAGCCTTTCTTTCCCTTCCCAAGTTCTGCCAATATGACCCTTGCTCTCCTTGGCCACCTAGCGTTTCCATAACCATGGTACCCGAAGCCCCCACCATAACAAAACCAAATACCATCAAGATTCCCGCAGAAGTCATTGGTATGATCGTGTCCCATGAACACGGCTTTCACGTCTCCCATGGATACAAGGGTCTGCAAAACTCCTGAGTTCACTTTTGAACATGCCACAGCCTCCTGAAACTGGCCAACAATCTTTTTGTGCCACAGCTGCCGGACCTCTGGAATTGGGATATGAAAAAATACAAGCGCTGGTGGTTTGTCCGGAGGAAAAGCCTCTGCTGAGCGATCTAGATATCCAATGTGGCCCTGTTAGTGTGTTTCTTGCAACATGTTAATGAAATCTAAATCTAACGAAACCTCCCTTGTGGGGAAAGGACGCACATGATGAGCAAATCATACAAAATACAGGATGAACAACTTGATGCAGGTATGGAATTGCAATTTTGCAAACAAGAGTGGGGGGTGTTAATGTTTTTTGAAAACATAGGGAACACATTTCCACTAAATACAGAAATGAATATGTGAATTTTAATGAAAATGTCACTTTACCAAGCAAGTACGAAAAAATTTCTCAATTCAATTCATAATCATCAGAACAATTAGAAACCAATCAGAACAAATGAAACAAAATGCAGCAGCATTGTTCTTATGCATTGCATTTGTTGAAAGTATACCTGAAATCCCTGAGAAATGTCACGAAGCCAATGGAGTTGAGATTCCTTAATCCAACCATAAGTTTGAACTCCTTCAACAGTTTCCCTATCTCCACTGTCAAGAAAGAAAAGATTGAGGATGCTTGTGTTTGCCAAATAGGATCCCGGGGCACCATATACTCTCAGATCATAATTGCCAAATCCATCAATGTTTTTCGCGCTTCCTCCTTTAGAGAGATCCTCAGCTAATGGATTAACTTGTGAAACTGAATAATCCATAAGTGAGATAAAAGACATCAGTTCCTCACGTGTCATCGTAGATTCTTGGTCGTGGTTTCCTAAAACTGCTGCCCACGGAACTCCTGAATCAATGGCAGGACCAAATGCTCTAAGCATGGATTCAGCAGCATCAACAGAGCTTGACCCGAATATATTATCTCCTGTTTGCAAGAACCAAGTCAAAACCGATACTTGTGTGTGCATCTGTAAGTTGAAAGTTGGGCCATAACACATTGTAAACTATAAGTACAGTTGGCTTTCTTTTCAGATAATTTGTGCCAACAATCACTTAGGAACACTTGCATAACTGAGGAATTAAGTTTACTGGATTATGGCTTCATTGGATGCATGAATTGGGTGGATTCGATATATTCGGTAGGATTTGGATACCAATACCATACCAAATATCTTTGGTTCGATAAAATTACCGTTTGGCATATAAAATGGCACAAAATCGGTATGGTAATAGTATGGTACGGTAGAATGGCAAAAAATTCCACTCCTAAATTAACTAAGACCACATTTAACTTTTTGCCACCTCGTAAATGTGCTGCATGAAGAACTTAGGCCTTGGTATAGAAGGTAAAAAAATATGAAGGTCCAGAGGCAAGAGTTGCACCTAATATATAACCTAGAGATAATCAACAAGTTTTAGTTTTAAGCATTCATCCTTGTGGACTTTGATATGACTGTTTTTCTTGTTTTTCTTGGTTTAGATGTTTAATTAAGCTTTGATAACCAATTAAGTTGGTTTAGCATCCTAATCAAATTATCATGGAACAAAATCCACAAAAACAAAAAGAAAATATATACCTAAAAACTCAGACAGCCAACCAAAACAAAAACAAAAACAAAACAAAACAAAAAATCATAAAACATTTTTTATGTCGGAGAAACAAAAAAATGTACCTGTAAAAGCAATGAAATGAGGCTTCTCAGCTTCAATCATCTTCCTCAGGAAGTGGGAGGTGTTGAGATCAGAACACCAGTCAAACTCGGAGTCCAACACATCTCGGCAGCGAGTCAACCTTCCATTCCCGTAATGCATATCAGCCACCTTAATTAACGAAAACCCCATTAAAATCCTAATCATTTAGCTAATCTTATAGATCATACAGTAAAAGCATAAGAAGACGATGAGTAATTACCTGCAGGATTTTGAAGGTTCCGTCGGACCGGAAACGAAGGGGAAGATCTGGGCTGGTTTTTTTTACTCTGACAGGCCGATGGCCGATTAGCAAATTGTGAGAGATTTGGGTGTGAAAAAAGTAGATGACTGAGCAGAGGAAAGACAAATACAGGACCGAGTGTTTCCAGTTTGCTGCCGAGGACGACGATTCCACTGAAGAGTCAACATCTTCGGACAGCGTCTGGTATTTCCAGTTTGCTGCCGAGGACGGCGATTCCATTGAAAAGTCAACGTCTTCGGACAGCGTCGGGTGTTTCCGGTTTGCCGCCGAGGACGAGGATTCCACTGAAGAGCCAACGTCTTCGGACAGCGTCGGATTTGCGGGCCGTGGGATGGCGACGAGTAAGGCACGGGTGACCGGCTTAGTGGCTTTCAGGGGCTGAGTGGATGGGGGTGGTGGGTGGTGGGGGTGGCTGGGGACTGGGGACTGGGGAGTTTTGTAACAACAGACCGGCAGCCACCTAAAATAGCCTCTTTGAAACAACTAACAAGTTAACAACAGGAAAGTTTTTAACTTGTTTGGTATTTCTAACAAAATTTTGAGCCATTGTGAACAATAAATTGTCAGTTTTATTTGACAAAATTCGTTTGTCTCGGCGGTTAAGAACAACAGAAATAAAATGAATTCTGACATTTTACAACGATTAGCCTCTTGCCACACGCTTCAATTTTATTTGAAAAAAATTATTTGTCTCGGCTAGTTAAGAACAACAAAAACAAACTAAATATCTTGACATTTTACAATAATTAGTCTTTTACTACATGCATACGCGTTTAACAATTAACTTTTTTATATTAGATTATGCCTTTTAAAATTTTTAATTAAATAACTAATTTGTAATTTTATTAAAAAGTCATTTAAAAAAAGAAATGAAGCATAACCATGAAACCACCACTAACGTTGGAGTTTTTTGTTTTTGTTATTTTTTTTTTTCCAAAGTTGTAAATTTTAAATTTATTCAAAATTAAAATTTGATAAATTACCTTAACTCTTTCTGTATAGGTTACGTTTTCATATCAGATTGGTTCTCTGAGAAGATTAATATTGGCAATAGATTGGCGTATTAATAGAACTTTCTTTGTCAACTAAAAGATGGTGAAAGATTATTTAACAAAACAAAATTTTTGCTATTTTTTGTTTAAACCTCACCCATAGATGATTTTAACAGCTTTAATATTAAAAAAAAAAATATATATATATATATATATACACATTTTAACATCTTTATATTGTTCACTTATTATTTTACTTTTCAGCTTAAATATTCTACAAACAGACACTTATTGCTCCATAAATTGTAAATCCGCTTCCAAATACATTATAAAAATTTCCTTAATACTCACAAAATACATTTTTTACAAAAAAAAAAATGTGGATTAACACTCATGGTTTTCAATTGGTTTTGTAAATTCGTACATAAGTCACCGTTCAATCTATTTATTTTCACCTTCGTCCTCACTGTGAAGTTTTGAAACATTAAGCTGAGACTTTTCGTTGAAATTCTTTGAGTGTCGAACCCCATTTGACAATGTTCTAGGACTCACTACTATGTTTTTCACTTATTTTTTTAGTTTTCGGCTTAAAGATTCTACTAAAATGCATTTGTTGCTCAATAAACTATAAAATTGCTTCCAAATTCCTTAAAAAGTTTAACTTAATGCTCAGGAAAAATATTTTGCGAAGATAAAAAAAATTTGTCAAAAAACATGGGTATTAGGCGGGCTCGACGCACCAAAACGAGATGGACTCAACTCGTGCAAATGACGCAAACCATGGCACACAAAACAAGGCAAGCTCTGCTCACAGAAAACGATGTGGGCTTCTAGGATGGAAAATGCTTGTGCACAGAAAACGAGGTAGGATACGTTGCACAAATCGAGACTCGCCCTGCACACGGAAAACAAGGTTGGCTTCGTGCACGTCAAAACGACGTGGTCTCCGTGGACACAAAAAGGGGCAGGCTTCTGACATGCAAAATGATGTGGACAGCTCATATGCAGAACAAGGCAAACCCAGGCACACAAGACGAGGCCGGCTTCGCGAACGCAAAACGAGGTGAACTCCCTGCGCTCAGAAAAAAAGTCGGGCTCCACACATTGAAAAATATATTATTGAAGAACATGAATATGATAGTTTGTTGTAGTGGTAAGAAAAATTAACAAAAATATAAATAAAAAATGATTCAAATTCTTGGGGTGTTCACACATGACTTTTTGGCTGCCACAATGTCACCGATCGTCATTGTCTCGCTAGTCAACGGAGACTTGCGCTAAAAGATAGGAGGTCGCATATGAACAACTTAGCGTGACTTTCTGCCACCCTAAAGAATTTGAATCATTTTTGTTTTATTTTTCTTGCCACTACCAACAAACTATCTTATTCATACTCTTCAAAATATACTTTTCCATGCAAAATCTATTATAATATACATATGAATAGTTTGGTCTCTGGTGTATAGTTTCTCATATATTCTATTTACTTCTACTTGTATATGCCACGCGTGACTTTCTGCCACCCCAAATAATTTAAATCATTTTTGTTTTTTTTTCTCTTACCACTACAACAAACTATCGTATTTACTCTTCAAAATATATTTTTCCATGCAAAATCTATTATTATTATTATATATACACACACAAAATCTATTATTTTATTAAAATGAGGATTAGTTGTGGGGTCCACATTACATCAAACTTTAATCCACATTACATCAAATTTTAACGATCAAAACCGACTATTTTTCAAGTTGCACCTTATGGATTATCTTTGCAAAATATTAGTCAAATCGGAAATTTAAGACATCTAATTGGGTTCAAATAAATTAACAAATACTTTGTTATATAAAAAATAATAAAATTTTATCTTGATAATTATATAGGCAAATGGTTTCTGATTAAATTGAATTTTTGCAAGGATGATTTATGAATCGAGGTTCGAATCCTTGAAGTTCGATGTTGAGTAAGCTCCACACTAAATCCCCATTTTTTTTTTTTTAAATGAAGATCAAAGGGCGTGTGTGTGTGTGTGTAGTTTGGTCTCTTGTGTATAGTTTCTCATATATTTTGTTTGCTTTTACTTGTATATTGGATTAAAACTCATTGTTTCCAAACAATTTGTGCATAATTTCAAAATTGCCCTTCTCTCGTTAGGGATTCAAAAGAAAAAAACAAATTCACAACAAAATAAAAAATACAAAAAACCACCCACCAAGCGAAACTATAAGTGGTTAGCAAGTTTATTATGTTCTAAAATATATTTTCATAAAAAAACAATAACAAATAAAAAGGACTAATTGCCAGACGCCAGTTGACATTACAATATTATTACAAACATCTTCTCACTACATAAACTACAAACATGAACAGTGAACAAATACAAATGGTGATTCCATAAGGTCACAGCTGAAAGGGTACCCTCCAACGCCAATAAAACGAGTTTATCAAGATGAAAACAACAGAGATATATCTACAGTAATTTACTAAGGCGTATAAACGGTCCTCTCTAATGCTAAATCAAGCAGCGTCCGGAAAAACTCGTGAGGGTACAAGGGAGGTTCCTCGGCTAGCGCCTGAAAATTGAAACGGACAAGAAAAATGTCGACCTAGTTAGCAGTTCCTCCTTCCTCAATACACATCCTCACTCTAAACAGTATTGCATTTGATCATCCTCTTTTCAACAGGTTTTAAACTCCCTCAATAAGTTTGAAATACCAAATTTTTTCGAATGTGTTTCCTCTAATGGAATGCAAAACCAAAATAGTTCGATTTAGTTTCTGTTGCAGGCTCAGAAGAATATTATCGATGCAAAGTAACCCTCGAAAGAAAATTTTTAGTAGAAATAGAGTACCTGATGAATCAGGACAGTCGAAGGCGTCATTCCAGGCACTGTGTTGACCTCTATCATCAAGACCTTCGGAAAGAAATTGACAACAGAATGAAAATGAGTTAGCAAATAACATGCGCACAATTCTTGCAGAGTACTCCAAACTCGATCAGTTAAGCAGAGAACGAACATCATACCTCTCCACTGTCCACGTTGACAAATGCATCAATCCGTGAAAATCCTTCTAATTCAAGACTATTTGCAATTATTTCGATATGTTTTTTACATTTCTGCAAGGCCTCGTTGCTGATTTAAGAGGGGAGAAAGAAATTAGACTAATGATTCGAACATGCAAAGCTCAAAAAGGAAAATAGCTTTTTAACTCAAACACGAGAGAGGATCATACAATATGAACGGAATAAGCAACATAGTGTGGAAGTTGCATTTTAAATGAAATCAGTCAGTTTAGAATAACATGTCCGATAATGACACTGGAACATCTGGCGTATGAGAAAAAGTTTTACTGCCTATGTATGGACCTATTTAACGGCAGTTTCTACACATCTTTGACTCGAATAACAGAATGCAGAACAGAGAACGAAGAGCTCCACTAACAACAGTGACAGGAGGATACAGGTTCTGGACAAACCTAATAATAGATGATGGAGGTGGAGTCAGATTGATGCCAGTCCCACCTGCCATATGCAAGCAACTTATCATTAATAACATGTAAGCAGGAAATTAACGAAGGGGCAAAGAAAAAAATCAACAAAAGATTACCTTGGAATTTCTCCTCAAGTGTTAAAATGTCACCACTCTCCCTGACCGTGATGCTAGGAGTCAGCGAGCGCATAGATCCTTGTGTTCCAACAACTCCGACAGTTATTTCAACCCATCTACTCTCTCCGCTCCACAAGATCTGATGCCCCTTTTCATTTCTAGATTTTGATGAAACAATTATATTATCGGTCTCGATAAAAGGCTCGAAGATTAAGAGCTCTGGAGGGGGGTTTGGCATCTCAATTGTTCCATGCGCCTACATCAGAAACCAAGATCAAACTCGAAGGTAGTTTCTATAAAATGGCTAAATAAAATTAGAAGAAGCAATATATATATATATATATTAAACATAATTCGTATCTCTCCAACTAGTATCACCTACTAATCCTAGGTAAAGATGTTAACTTCCATGACAATACACACTTAGTGAAGAAGAGTGACAAGGCTTGTGAATACTTGGAGGAAGCCAGAGAATGGAAAGACTTGAATTAGCATGGATCTCAATCACTTAAAGGCAGTGAAGCCAAATGTTGTACGGCCTAAAGGACAAGCTACATTCTACTTTCTCGTGGTTATTGATAATAGTCGCAGAAAACACAGAGCAATATTTTTAGTGACAAATAATATAAATGAACATTTGTAACAAATATATCTGAAATGAAACTCTATAAACGAACATTTGTAACAAATATATCTGAAATGAAACTCCAGAAAGAGATAAGAAGCCATCCTGAGAAGATCTACAATTAAACCATTTTATACCTTAGAGAAACTATTAGGAGGAATCCGGTGAAGACAGTCTTCCAATGCTTTTACATACACTAAAAGGTCATCAGCGCAGCTGCATGCAAAAATAAATTTGACCCGAAAGAGTACATCATAACTCCATTGCAGGACAAGGCAATTATGGTATTGAGTGCATAAAG